CTAGGCCATAAAGCAAGTCTCAGCAAATTCAAAAGAATTAGAATCATACCATGCAGCTTCTCAGACCATAAAGGAATGAAGCTGGAAATGAAAAACTCAGGAATCCCTAGAGCATATGCAAACACATGGAGATTGAACAACATGCTCCTGAATGAACAATGGGTCATAGAAGAAATCAAAAGAGAAATCAAAAACTTTCTGGAAGTAAATGAGGATAACAGCACAACATACCAAAACTTATGGGACGCAGCAAAAGCAGTGTTAAGAGGAAAGTTTATATCAATAGGTGCCTACATCAAGAAATTGGAAAGGCACCAAATAGATGAGCTTTCTATTCACCTCAAGGATCTAGAAAACCTACAGCAAACCAGACCCAAATCTAGTAGGAGAAGAGAAATAATTAAAATCAGAGAAGAAATCAACAGGATTGAATCCAGAAAAACATTCCAAAAATCAGCCAAACGAGGAGCTGGTTTTTTGAAAAAATAAACAAAATTGACACCCCATTGGCCCAACTAACTAAAAAAAGAAGAGAAAAGACCCAAATCAATAAAATCAGAGATGAAAAAGGAAATGTAACAAGAGACACCACAGAAGTAAAAAGAATCATCAGAAATTACTACAAGGACTTGTATGCCAGCAAACAGGGAAACCTATCAGAAATGGATAGATTCCTGGACACATGCAACCTACCTAAATTGAACCAGGAAGACATCGAAAACCTAAACAGACCCACAACTGAGACAGAAATTGAAACAGTAATAAGGCCCTCCCAACAAAGAAAAGCCCAGGACCAGATGGATTCACTGCTGAATTCTACCAGACATTTAAAGAAGAACTAACTCCAATTCTTCTCAAACTATTCAGAACAATCGAAGAAGAGGGAATCCTCCCAAATTCTTTCTATGAAGCCAGCATCACCTTAATTCCTAAGCCGGAAAAAGATGCAGCACTGAAAGAGAACTACAGACCAATATCCCTGATGAACATAGATGTAAAAATCCTCAATAAAATTCTGGCCAATAGAATGCAACAACACATCAGAAAGATCATCCACCCAGACCAAGTGGGATTTATCCCTGGTATGCATGGATGGTTTAATGTGCGCAAGACAATCAATGTGATACACCACATTAACAGACTGCAGAAGAAAAACCATATGATTATCTCAATAGATGCCGAGAAAGCATTTGATAAAATACAACACCTGTTCATAATGAAAACTCTAAGCAAACTGGGTTTGGAAGGAACATTCCTCAATACAATCAAAGCAATCTATGAAAAACCCACAGCCAACATCCTATTGAATGGGGAAAAGTTGGAAGCATTTCCACTGAGATCTGGTACCAGACAGGGATGCCCACTCTCACCACTGCTATTCAATATAGTCCTGGAGGTTCTAGCCAGAGCTATTAGGCAAGAAAAAGAAATTAAGGGATACAAATTGGGAAGGAAGAACTCAAACTATCCCTCTTTGCAGATGACATGATTCTTTATTTAGGGGACCCAAAGAACTCTACTAAGAGACTATTGGAACTCATAGAAGAGTTTGGCAAAGTAGCAGGGTATAAAATCAATGCACAAAAATCAACAGCCTTTGTATACACAGACAATGCCATGGCTGAGGAAGAACTTCTAAGATCAATCCCATTCACAATAGCTACAAAAACAATCAAATACCTTGGAATAAACCTAACCAAGGACGTTAAAGATCTCTACGATGAAAATTACAAAACCTTAAAGAAAGAAATAGAAAAGGATACCAAAAAATGGAAAAATCTTCCATGCTCATGGATTGGAAGAATCAATATCATCAAAATGTCCATTCTCCCAAAAGCAATTTATAAATTCAATGCAATACCAATCAAGATACCGAAGACCTTCTTCTCAGATCTGGAAAAATTGGTGCTGAAATTTATATGGAGGCACAAGAGACCTCGAATAGCTAAAGCAATCTTGTACAACAAAAACAAAGCCGGAGGCATCACAATACCAGATTTCAGGACATACTACAGGGCAGTTGTAATCAAAACAGCATGGTACTGGTACAGAAACAGATGGGTAGACCAATGGAACAGAATTGAAACACCAGAAATCAACCCAAACATCTACAGCCAACTTATATTTGATCAAGGATCTAAAACTAATTCCTGGAGCAAGGACAGTCTATTCAATAAATGGTGCTGGGAAAATTGGATTTCCACGTGCAGAATCATGAAGCAAGACCCCTACCTTACACCTTACACAACAATCCACTCAACATGGATTAAAGACCTAAATCTACGACCTGACACCATCAAGTTACTAGAGAACATTGGAGAAACCCTTCAAGATATTGGCACAGGCAAAGAATCTCTGGAAAAGACCCAGGAGGCACAGGCAGTCAAAGCCAAAATCAACTATTGGGATTGCATCAAATTGAGAAGTTTCTGTACTGCAAAAGAAACAGTCAGGAGAGTGAAGAGACAACCGACAGAATGGGAAAAAATATTTGCAAACTATGCAACAGATAAAGGGTTAATAACCAGAATCTACAAAGAGATCAAGAAACTCCACAAAAACAAAACCAACAACCCACTTAAGAGATGGGCCAAGGACCTCAATAGACATTTTTCAAAAGAGGAAATCCAAACGGCCAACAGACACATGAAAAAATGTTCAAGGTCATTAGCAATCAGGGAAATGCAAATCAAAACCACAATGAGGTTCCACCTCACCCCGGTTAGAATGGCTCACATTCAGAAATCTACCAACAACAGATGCTGGCGAGGATGTGGGGAAAAAGGGACACTAACCCACTGTTGGTGGGAATGCAAACTGGTCAAGCCACTATGGAAGTCAGTCTGGAGATCCCTCAGAAACCTGAAGATAGCCCTACCATTCGACCCAGCCATCCCACTCCTTGGAATTTACCCAAAGGAATTTAAATTGGCAAACAAAAAAGAGGTCTGCACCCTAATGTTTATTGCAGCTCAATTCACAATAGCTAAGACCTGGAACCAACCTAAATGCCCATCAACGATAGACTGGATAAAGAAATTATGGGATATGTACTCTTTAGAATACTATCTCTGTGAGTGAGATCTCAGTGGAAAGAACAGGTCTTCAAAGAAGGAGGTACCTTTCTCTGAAGGGAGGAGAGAACCTCCACTTTGACTATGACCTTGTCTAAACAAGATAAGAGTCGGAGAACTCAGAGGGATTCCATAGCCTTGGAAACTCATGACTGGAGCATAGGGAGATTACTGATGCCATAGACAGGAGTGTCAATTGGTAAAGTCAACAACAGGAGTCACTGTGCACTTACTCCTCATGTAGGATCTCTGTCCTTAATGTGCTGTGCATTGAGATTTAATGCTATAACGAGTACTCAAACAATATATTTCACTTTGTGTTTCTATGGGGGTGCAAACTGTTGAAATCTTTACTTAATGCATACTAAACTGATCCTCTGTAAAAAAAAAAAAAAAAGAAAAAAGAAATTATCAACTCCCAACTTGACTCTCACTGGGATTAAACATGACAATAGGTCTGATCTGATTTCATCATCATTTTAAAAAAATCATCTATTATTTTTCACTTTATGTTTATGTGTGGGAGCAAACTGTTGAAATCCTTACTTAATGTATACTAAGCTGATCTTCTGTATATTAAGATAATCGAAAATGAGTCTTGATGTGAATGGAAGGGGAGAGGGAGTGGGCAAGGGGAGGGTTGTGGGTGGGAGGGACGGTATGGGGGGCAAGCCATTGTAATCCATAAATCGTACTTTGGAAATTTATATTCATTAAATAAAAGTTAAAAAAAGACAAAACAAAAATGTATGCCACTGGAAATTGTAAATCAGATATATTCACAATAGCAAGAGAGATTAAAATTTAAAATGAAAAAAAATTACCTTCAAATAGGCAGAAGAAACAAAGGATAGGCAGTAGGACTTGATTATGTCTCAGGGATTTACCACAGAAAATGTATGCAAAAAACCACCATCATCAAAGCAAACATATTCTACCATGCATGTCTAGGTTTTATTCTCCATTAGGTGATATGTTTTGGAAAATTTCATTCTAATAGCATTAGCACTTAACGACAGAGCACTAATCTTTCTAAAAATAAAATTTAGTATTTAGATTCTCAAAACTCACCAAACCAACTGGAAATGTCTAGTTGTAAAACAACAATGTTATGCTCAAGTCAGTTTCACATCATAAATGATAATCTATGACTAATGTCAGTAGGCAAATTCCAATTCTAAACACTACTGGAGATTGCCACTGTGATTTTCAACTGTGTTGACATTCATCTTATTGCTGAATTGTAGGCAAATTTCTTTGGCAACATTTACATATCAGTTAATGCCACAGGAAAAACTGTTACATTAATTTAGCATCTCAAAACTGCATTAGAATTACTTAAATACATTTTCTAATAGATTCTACAATAGGAAAGCCTCCAAACATGCCTATTAACAAAATCTGTTCAAAGAAAGCGAACTATTAAAGAATCAAGACACGTATCTCACATGAACTACTTAAATTTAATTGTATAAGTTACAGCTAAATTCACCAAATAATTTAAAAAATCCTTAAATAAAAGCTGATGTTTTTAAATAAATTTCTTTATAATTTACCTAACTTATTATAATTCACAGCTATTTAGCCTGAATTTTAACATAAAATGTCTAAATCAATCTTCATGTGAGTTATTAAATGCAACTCAATATGCACTGCTTTCTTTAGAAAATATGTACTAAGCACCATCATGTACCAAGACTCACAAGCAATAACTCCAGCAATATATGTCATAATTCATCTTCAGAATAATTTTTGGGTTGCTTTAAATAAAGATTACACATCTGTGTGTGTGTCTGTGTGCATACACACCTGTTTAGGTATGTGTGTGTATATATATATTTATGTATATATCTTGAATGAGGAGGACATTATATGTAACAGTGATTCAAGTCAGAAACATAAAAATTTTATCAAAGATTAACTTACCTGGGTCAAATTGTTTTTTGAAGTCCTCGCATCCATTTCTAGTGTTCTATGTGTCACTTCTTCTTGTTTCACTTCTTCTTTATGATATTGCTTTTCTTTTCTTCTTAACTGTTCCCTAGGTTTTTTACACAATATATCAGTATTGGTCTCTTTTTCTTGTTTTAGGTAAAAACATGCTTGTTTCAAAATTCATTTTATTAGAAATTAAAAGATTCATTGTATAATCTTATACTACCATGCAGCTTATACACTCTAATAAAATTTATGTTCTCAAATATCTTCTTATAACATTTCATTTAAATCTCTTCTTCAAAGGACAGAGTTGAAAGTTAGCTGTGAAAGCACATTCTTAAAACAAAAAAAAAAATAGCACATTCTTGAGACTGGTATTGTGTAGTGTGTCAAGCTACCGCCTGTGATACTAACACCCCGTGTGGCCACAGGTTCCTCTCCCAGCAGATGTACTTCCTATCTAGCTCCTTGCTAATGGCCTGGGAAAGCAGCACAAGGTGACTCAAGTATTTCAATCTCTGCTGCCACCTATTTGGGAGACCTAGAAGAAGCTCCTAGCTCCTGGCTTCAGCCTGGCTCAATCCTGGCCATTGAGGCCACCCACAGTGAACCAGCAGCTTGCTCACTCGCTCACTCGCTCTCTCTCTCTCACTCTTTCAAATAAATAATAATTCTTTGTTATCAGAAATTACATTCTGATAATTGATAAGATTCTGTTACTTGCAACTGATAACTGTTATCAAGAAAGGAATTTCGAAATTATCCAGTAGAGTTATGAGTTGAAAATTACCTCTTCCTCATCCATTCATAATTACATCTCCATTAGGAAAGGTAATTTAGAATTAACCAATCTTTAATGAATTTTAAAAAAAAGATTTATGCATTATTTGAGAGGCAAAGTGATATATAGAGAGAAGAGACACACAGAGAGGTCTTCCATCTGCTGGTTTACTCTCCAAATGGCCACAACAGCAGGAGCTCAGAGGATATGAAGGGAGAAGCCAGGAACTTCTTCCTTATCTCCCATGTGGGGTGCAGAGCCCCAAGCACTTGGCACCTTCTAATGCTTTCTTAGGCCTTAAGCAGGCAGCTAGATCAGAAGTGGAGCACCCAGGACTTGGACCAGTACCCATACAGAATGCTGGTGCTACAGGCAGAGGCTAACTTACTATGCAACAGTTCTGGCCCTTAATGAGTATTTTTTATAAACACCTTTATATAGTTATTAGAACTACAGTTTTCAACTTTATCAAATATTACACGTATCCTTAAAAATTATTTAGAGTGTAAGACAGCCTATAATTTATACATGCCTTTTACATGATACACACAGCTACTGATTAATATCATCCAAGGGTAAAGAGTATATGTGTCACTTCATATAATTGATATTTTTGGTAGTATTTTCAACTTAATGAATATTAAAATTCCATAAACAATTTCAAAAAATGACATTGTTAATTAAGCAAGGGTGCTACGTGCTTTCAACATAGAACATGAAACGAATTTTTGCATGTAAAAAGAGAAATGTTCAAGAAACTAATCAGAGATTACTTTCCAGTTTTCTGTCATCCCATGCATGTTAAAATAAGTAAATTTCAAAGTCTTCAAAGGTTAAAAAAACTGTCAACTATATATCTGTTGATGGAAGTATAAGCTTATGTACTTTCTTGACAAAAATTTAGAAATATTAACCAAGCATTTAAAAGGTTTCCTCAAATTTAGCCATAAAATCCATATTGAAGTATTTATTCAAGTCAAGCACTTGGCATATAAAGAAATGTTTATATAGAAGATGTTTGTTGCAGCATGACTTATAATACAACAAAACATAAACTCAAAATACAATGTTCAAAACAAATCATGAAACTTCTATATGGTGTGCTTCTATGTAACTAAGATTACAATCTGAAGAAGATGTATGAATTATTACAAGCATTCACACTTAAGAACTTGTACATTATTTGCAATTCTTGTGAATTTCACACTTCCTAAGAGTAAGAAGTTTCTACCCTGTAAAATCCCAGAATATCTCGGATGGTCAAAGATGAAAAATCCTCCACAAAATACCAGCTCATTGAATCCAACAACACATCAGAAAGATCATTCACCCAGACCAAGTAGGATTTATCCCTGGTATGCAGGTATGGTTCAACATTTGCAAACCAATCAATGTGATACAACACATTAACAAATTGAAGAAAAAACACATTATTATCTCATCGGATTTAGAAAAAGCATATAATAAGATATAGCATTCTTTCATGATGAAAATCTTAAGCGAACTGAGTATAGAAGCAACACTCATCAATACAATCAAGACAAACTATGACAAACCCACAGTGAGCACCTTATTGAATGAGTAGAAACTGGAGGCATTCCCCCTAAGATCTGGAACCAGACAGGAATGCCCAACTCTTACCACTGTCATTCCATATAATCATGGAAGTTTTAGCCAGAGCCACTAGGCAAGAAAATAAAACCAAAGGAATACAAATTGGGAAGGAAGAAATCAAACTATTCCCATTTGCAGATGACATGATTTCATATTTAGGGGATGCAAAAGACTCCACTAAGAGACTACCGAAACTCATAAAAGAGTTTGGTAAAGTGGAAGAATATCAAATTAACACACAAAAATCAAATCAATAGCTGATCTATACATAGACAATGCCATAACAGCTACAAAATTCATACCTTCAAATAAATTTAACCAAGGATGTCAAAGATTTCTATGATGAAATTACAAAACATTAGAAAGTGAAATAGAAGAAGACATAAAAAGTAGAAAAATCTTCGATGTTCATGGTTTGGAAGAATCAAAATCATGAAAATGTCTGTACTACCAAAAGCAATTTACAGATTCAATTCATTCCTAATCAAAATACCCATCAGATTTTTCTCAGATTTAAAAAGAATGATGCTAAAATACATAAGGAAACACTAGAGACCCTGAATAGCTAAAGCAATGTTAAACAATAAAAAAAAAGCTGGAGGCATCACAATACCAGACCTCAAGATATACTATAGGGCAGATATAATATAAACACATTGGTGCTGGCACAAAAACAGATGTATAGACCAATGGCATAGAATAGAAACTCCAGAAATCAATCCATGCATCTACAATGAGCTTACTTTTGACAAAGAAGACAAAATCAATCCCTGAAGAAAGAACAGTCTCTTCAACAAATGGTGTTGGGGAAACTGGATCTCCTCATGCAGAAATATGAAATAAGACCCCTACTCTACACTTTACACAAAATTCCACTCAAAATGGATCAGGAGCTAAATCTATGTCTCAATCCCATCAAATTAATAAATAACATTGAGGAAACTCCATAGTATATTGGCATAGACAAAGATTTCTTCGAAAAGACCCCAGAAAAGCACAGGCAATCAAAGCCAAAACTGACAACCGGGATTGCATCAAACAGGGAAGCTTCTGTACTTAAAAAGTAACACTCAGCAAAGTGAAGAAGCTCCGACAGATTGAGAGAAATATTTGCAAATTATGCAACTGATAAAAGATTAATATCCTCAGTTTATAAAGAGCTCAAGAAACTCAATCACAACAAACAAAAATCCAGTTAAGAAATGGGCAAAGGACTTTAACAGGCATTTTTCAAGAGTGGGAATTCAAATGGGCAACAGGCACTTGAAAAAATGCTTAACATTCTTCATTTTGATTATTTGAGGACCATAAATTTCATGGATTCCATACATACATATTTAGGAACATAGTGATTCTACCTACCCTCCAGCCCACCCATACTCCCACTTGTCTTCCTCTTCCCCATCCTCTTTCCATTCTTATTTTTTCACAAATATCTATTTTCAGTTAACAAACACATGAGATTAACCTTATACTAGTTAAAGAGTTCAACAAATAGTATGAAGGAATAAAATTAGTATGACGCACAGTACGACCCAGTAGAGTCAGGCATTCATGGCTACAATTTATTTTATTTATTTTTTTTTGACAGGGCAGCGTGGGACAGTGAGAGAGAGAGACAGAGAGAAAGGTCTTCTTTTGCCGTTGGTTCACCCTCCAATGGCCGCAGCGCGTCGTGCTGATCCGAAGCCAAGAGCCAGGTGCTTCTCCTGGTCTCCCATGGGGTGCAGGGCCCAAGCACTTGGGCCATCCTCCACTACACTCCCTAGCCAAAGCAGAGAGCTGGCCTGGAAGAGGGGCAACTGAGACAGAATCCAGCACCCATACCAGGACTAGAACCTGGTGTGCCAGCGCTGCAAGGTGGAGGATTAGCCTGTGAGCCATGGCGCCGGCCCATGGCTACAATTTATTGGTTAAAAAGTTTTAAAAAATCAGTGAAATGCAAATCAAAACCACAATGAGTTTCACTCCAGTTAGAATGGCTCTCATACAGAAATCAACAACAATAAATGTTCACAAGGATGTGGGGGTAAAGGTACCCTAATCCACTGTTGGTGGGAATGTAAACTGGTGCACCTGCTGTAGAAGATAGCATGGAGATACTTCAGAAATCTCAATACAGACCTACCATATGATCCAGCCATCCACTCCTGGGAATTTACCCAAATGTAAAGATATTGGCAAATGAAAGAATAACCTGTACACCATGTTTATTACAGCTCATATGAAATGAACCAAGATGTCCATCAACTGAAGACTGGGTAGAGAAATTATGCTATAAATACACTATGGAATAATATACTGGGGTAAAATGAAATAATTTCTTTGTTACAAATGGATGTAACTAGAAATGATTACTTAGAGTAAAAAGCTTAGCTCAAAAAAGACAAATACCTGTGTTCTTTCTGATCTGTCATAACTAATAGAGTATGTAAAATGTAATCTATTGGGATGAAATTGACATTTTGAGATGTGATGATTTTGAACAGCTCGTCTTGAGTACTGAGGAGCAGTGTTTTTTGTTGTTGTTGTTCATACTATTTGTTGAAACTCTTCACTTAGTGTATGGTTAACCTTGTGTGTATAAAGTTAACTGAAATAGAAATTTGTTAAAAATAAGAATAGAAAGAGGAGAGGAAGGAGGAAGAATGGTGGGATTATGGGTGGAAAATAAGGTAGGAAGAATTACTATGTTCCTGAATTTGTAT